GCAAAAACGTTGTGTATTTTCTTATAATAGTTGGTTGATGTTTAGTGAAATAAACAGTACGTATTTGACAGTTGTTCTCAGTGCACAAGTTTTCTTTCGCTATGGCTGGTTACTCTAACGCAGAATTAACAGACATGCATTTCATGTATGGTCGTGCTTCGGTGGCGTTCCCATTAGCACGACCATACATGAAATGCATGTCTGTTAATTCTGCGTTAGAGTAACCAGCCATAGCGAAAGAAAACTTGTGCACTGAGAACAACTGTCAAATACGTACTGTTTATTTCACTAAACATCAACCAACTATTATAAGAAAATACACAACGTTTTTGCAAAATAAAAAAAGGGGCTAAAAAACATAAAACATTCCATATCTCCGCAACCGTTACTTTGCGGACCCATGCTTATTGAGACTTTTCTGCTTATTTTGATTCATACTATTACCTCCTTAAATATTTCACACTCTTTTTTAACACCCTGTATGATGGCACAGTCCGTTTGGTACTAGTATTTTTGTCACAAACAAAACCTCAACCTAGTTGTCAATAGAATCAATAATGAAATTTTTCGATTACCAAATACTTACTCAGCAATAGCCCATGCTATGCCACATCCATCGTAAGTTGAAGTTCCTCTTCCTAACTCATCAATGATGACTAAAGAATTCTTAGTAGCGCTCTAAAATATACAAACATAATTGATTCGGCAGACAAGATAAAAATATAAATATTTTGTGTATTTCTGATATCACGCGACATGATAAAATTGAAAAAAATAAAATAAAAGTACAAATTAAACCATTTTCGTTTCCTTCACTGTCTCTTTAATTAATGTGGAAAATGTAAAAAAACACTAACTCTTTTACCTTTATTATCGTGGACGTTTCTATCATTTCCAACATGAACGTGGACAACCCCTTCAACTGACAATCATCAGCTCCTACCCTCACTAAAATCCCATCAACCAAAGATATTATTGCTTCTTCACAAGGAACCAAGCTGCCTATATGAGCCATAAGCACGCAAGTGCCGATACTCCTGATGTATGTACTTTTTCCGCACATATTTGGCCCGGTGATAATATGCAAGATTTTCTCATTCTGGTCGAATGCGGCGTTGTTGGGAATAAAAGAGACGTGGTCCTGTGCTTCCAAGCAAGGATGACGGACTTTCTTCAGGTTCAGTACGCCCGAATTTTCTTTTAGAAGCTTAGGCCGAGTATACGGAATGCGGGCAGACACGGCAGCGGTGGCGAAGGAAACAAGAACGTCTAAAGTGGCGAGCAAGACGTTTAGATTTCTAAGCGAATCAGCATATCCAGCTAAGAAAAAAGAAACATTACCATGAATATTTTTACTAATCGCGTAACCTTTAGCTAAAGTGTTATGTATACAGGGTAATTTTAAAGTTCAGATATTGTTTTAACACTTGACCTTTGGCAGTAATGACGCAATTTAAAAAGTCAACTTAAAAAATAAAAATACTTACATTACACGTATATCTGACATAATTCTGAGTACGTTAATGCCCTTACATTCGATGCAGCATTATGTTGCGTCAAAGATTCGCGTGTTGATACTGCGCTTCTGTGCATGCATGTAACGGCAAGAGTTATGCACGAATTGTTCACCGATTAAGAAACTGCCGTAAGTAAAACATTCTCGTACTTTATGCCTAAAATGAGCCAGCGCCCTTTCTTGCAGTTACTACATGTTGGCTTTAGATTTAAAGGTGCATCTTTTAGCAAACCAGATTAAGAAGCAAAAAAATTGAGGTAGTAGTAGCGTTTAAACGGTTTAGTAGAATAAATGTAATCTTGAAAATTGGCCCTTGCAACGTAGAATTGTGTACAGGCTGATTCACTATATTTTGACCCCCCTTTTAACTTTTTTGTTTTAAGGACGCGATTTTGTACAAAAAATATCGCCCAGCGTGAGTCACGAAACGGGACCCCGGCAGGTGCTGCTCTAGCGGCCAACGCTTCAAGTCTAATAATTTACACTGCAACCATATTCGCCCGATTTTTCAGGAACGGCTCCAATTTGTGTACATACAATCTTATAAGGAAAGAGAGTAAATATTTTATTAATCAGTAATAGATTATCGAGGACAATAATATTTTTTTATTGAGTAGGCAATAATTTTTAGTTAATAAGCTTAAACAATCTTATAATTACTATTCCTTCATTATAAAAACAGAAATACGGTTTTTAAAATTACATGTAGTTTCTTCTTCAAAAGTGACGTTAAAACACGTATAACATGGAATAGTCAACAGTCTAATGTTTATATTTTCACATTAACAATCCGATAATGTAAATTAACTGCTATTTTCAGTAAAAAAAATATATACCTAACCTGAAATATTTTTTTACTTTGGCGAGTCGTATTAACTTAAAAACACTGCTTAATTACTAAAATATATAGAAACTTGCTACTAATTGCGTTTGGAGAATAATATGTATAGGCATAAAATATATATTAAAATATTACTGTATGTATTTAGTCCATTGAAATGAGGCTGAACCTCCATTTTTTCCTCTGTCGATCAAACCTGGGCGCAAATATGTTTTCGACCCTCAGGAATCCGAATCCGCAAAAATTTTTGACCTAGGTGATCAGGCAAGGGGTCAAAAGGTCAAAAAACCCGTAAAAAATAAGGTTTTTCGCAAATATCTCGTAAACTACGGCAAGTAGCAAAAAAATAATTGCACCATCGTGTTCCCAGGGAAATTTTACATCGATTTTATGCTATTGCTTATTAAAATTAAATAAATTTATGTCATGTTTTGGACAATTACCAAGCAATATAATGCGATTTCAAATATAATTAGCCTGCAGTTATAGTGGATCTGAATTCAATTGCCAGATACACTATTTTTTTTGCTACTTACTTTAATTTTTAAATGGAAAACCAAAAATAATACTAATGAAGAACAGAAAAAAAACTTTTTTAGAACGAAATACTTATTGCAGAAATGAAATATAGTGCTCTGAAAAAGCGACTTGTAAAGCTTATTCTACAAATACTTGTTCATATAAAAAAGTCAAAATTTGTATAAACAATTGTTCCCAGAATGACAACTTTTTATTTCTAAATTTTGAAGACTTTTGAAGAATTGAATAATGAATAAAATAAGCCTAGTAGTCCGGGCGAATTAGGTTTTTTTTCAAAAATCGGGCCTACATCGATTTTTATGGGTTTAAAATTAAGTAAAAAATACACAGAATAAATGCCTAAATTTGTGTATTTGTAGAGGTCGAGCGTCATATTGTTTATAACAAAAGAAAATTAAATAATTGCTTTTTTTCAGGTTTTCGCTTAGATCTCCGAAAATAAGCCTCTAATCGACATGAGGTATACTTATTGATTTTGTTCCTAAGGAAATTTGCTACAAGGGTAGGCTTTTGCGAAAGTTCGCAAAATTTTTTTATTTTGCAACTTAAAAATCTTAAATTTACACAGACGCGAGATAATGTAATTACCTTTAGATCCTTTTTTGTCGAATTTCGATATCTTGACTTGGGCAGAAGATACACGCGCTAGCGTTTTCGACATTATAATTTCGCAATACGCCGCCATTTTTTTTTTTTTTGGGGTCCGGATTGCAGGTATGTGTTGACCAGCCCAACAGTTATTTTTTCCTGTAGTTTCATCCAATTTCAGTCAAATTTGTTATTTTTATTTAATTCTGAAAATTTAGTCCATTTTTCTATTCTAAAAATTTTGCGAACTTTCGCAAAAGCCTACCCTTGTAGCAAATTGCCTCAGGAACAAAATCAATAAGTCATGTCGATTAGAGGCTTATTTTTGGAAATATAAGCAAAAAACTGAAAAAAAGCAATTATTTTATTTTCTTTTTTGTACCTACCTAGCCTTATTTGAAACAATATTGAAAATCTGCAAACACATCTTCATTGACACTTTTTGCCTTCTATCCGATTTCTTATACAACGTTTCGCCTTTCCAGGGCTATCATCAGATTAATTTTTTTAAGTATTGTTGCAGTTTTGGTAGCAATTCATGATGCTGTTCACATACAACAAACAGTAAGTTTAAATTTGAACATTTCGTTTGTATTTGACCTTCCATATTCAGGTGTCCAAACTTCCAAATCTCTTTATTTTGGATCAGTTAAATGTTTAGAAGGCTTTTTTATAAGGGTTTAAGCCAAACTACATTAAAATACTAAGTTTCAAAAATATGAAATAGTTATTTTTTCTTTGACACCATTTCTTAGTAGTTACATCAAAAGAGAAATGGGGTCAAAAAAAAACAACTATCTCATATTTTCGAAAGTTAGTATTTTAACGTAAGTTTGGTTATCTCACAATTTTTTTAATTTAGCATTTAAACGCAAGTTTAACCCTTACAAAAAGGTCTTCTAAATATTCTACTGAGCCAAAACAAAGAGATACAAATCTATGTTAGGATACCTGAAGATAGAAGGCCAAATAAAGAACGAAACGCTTGACAAGCGTTTATTTCAAAAATAAATTGAGATATTCTTGACTTCTTGGTACCATATTTTTAGCCTCCTAATTGCGTAACTTTGTTTTAATTTAACCTTTGAAGTATCTCTTATAGAGAAGGGAAAAGATTGGGTCTTTTGATTTTGAGGGTTTGAACCCGGTTTAAACCCAAACACTCTTTTTAACTGTTTTGTATAAAAAGGTTAGTTATTAGTTTGCCTCGACGCATTTATTAATATTAGGTACAGCATTAAAGTTTAAAATTCTTAAAAACTTAAGATGTTTCCAATACCTAAGTAGGGTGGGGTCAATATTTGACATTTTAATCTGCTTTGAGGCTATAAAATGCCGCGAAATTTAAATTATTGAAAAGAGCGGGCCTAAATGAAAAACTGGATCCGGTATAAATCCTCTCGACACAACTCTAATCTCTTATAATAAAAGAGAAGCGAGGCACCCATGGTGAGTCTCTTGAATGACTCACCCTGTATACATCGAGGAGTAACACAGGGCAGCAAAGTTTTAGTGCCGCTATGATGTCGTATGTTATTCTTTAACAGAAAATACAAAAATATATTTTTTTTTGCAACGCGATGGGACATAAGGAGCATATTTGAAAAATATTTTGTTCTGGAATTCCCCGCTACAGCAAACTTATATTTTTTGTAATGAAATATCACTTTATTCTCATATTTGCATTTAGTTAATTTTAAGAAGGCAAAAAAGGAAATGTAAAAACCCGGCTTGTATACCTAATGGAAACCCAAGAAAAGAAATTAAAAAAATAAACATTTTAAATTCAATGTTTTTTTTT